CATCTCACAGAGAAGTCTCAGTATAAGGAGAAAATGGAGACTTTTCTTGCTTCTTACTGAGAACAAATGGCTGGACGATTCACATCTGTAGCAGGAACACTCGTTTCTTGAGGCTTCTGTAGTCCAAATTATTTATGGAGTTTTTTTATTCAAGTGTTTTCCCCTCCCCCCCCAGGCCTTCACATCTGTACACTCAACACAGAGAGACATATGTTGGGAAAGGGTACCATGTGACAGGCAGGCTCATGCGTTGCCCTCCACGTGGACAACAGCATCTGCCATGGCCTAGTAAAGTGATAGATGTGGTTTTGCAAATGTCACCAGTCCATGTCCCACCATTTGGTAATAAGTAATATAACTTCTCAGAACATTTTGTTGTTGTTGTCGTCGTCGTCGTCATCATCATCATCATAACTTTAGAGGCTGACTGCTCCCTGTGTTGCTTAGCCACGACCAGGGTGAATTTTTTAAAAAAAATTCTTTAAAATTTAAATTGTCTAAAAATCCATTTTAAAAATTAACTTGTGATTTAAATTAAATCCACCCTGGCATTCCTTTTAGCTCCCCCTTCTTCTTTTTTTAAGTGCAAATACTAGCAAAGTTTCATTCAGCTCCCTACTCCAATTTCACTATGGCTGTTACATTTTTACTTAGAAAAACATATACAAAGAATCCCCCTTTTTTTAAAAAAAACCCTCAAATGGCTGTTTCTTTCAGTCTCTTTCTACTGCTTCTCTCAGTTGTAACCTAGATGTGTCAGCACAGCTACATGATAATAGTAGGGTTTTGTGAAAGGAGAGCAGATAACCAAATTTTTCAGTTCCCCATGGCTCAAAGGCTTGGGAAGTCCAAGAGAGCTTTAAAAATAGCAGCAAAACACATGTGCTGTTAGAAGGCGCCCAGGTTAAAGAGCAGTTGGAAGAGGGGATGATTGTTGCCTAAGAAGACAGACCATTTGCTTGCACAAGTGACAGGTTTCAGGAGACATGGAAGTGCTCCTGGCCTTTCATTACTGCATACAATACACTTGTATTGTTGTTTTCTGCAGTTCGGTTACTGGCACACCGGGCTTTCAAGATTGTTGTGCTGTCTTGGAGAAGTACTTCACTAAAATCTCCTTGAGGGAGCTGTGGATGGATGTGCAGATTAAAAACTGGTATGACTGTTTCCGAGCTGTGGTGAAAGAGATGTCTGTGTTTCTGTTGTCTTTTACAAGGATAACATTACTCCTTTCTCATACAGCAATGGCCATCATTTCAAGGACATGGTCTTCTTTGTTAATTGTGCATTTTCTTTGAAGAATCTGTGATTCTCAGTGCCAGTACACATGGCTATGAATTATTCTTGTTATTGTTTTTATTGCGATATGTTTGGTGTGTTACGGAGAAGTCTGTTCTGCCCTGTTTCTGCTTAAGTCAGGGATGTTTAAACATTCGAAATGCAAAAACGGCAAGAAGAGGTGCCATATTGAAATCTATAGTCTGCTTAAGTCAGGGATGTTTAAACATTCCAAATGCAAAAAAAAAGGCAAAAAGAGGTGCCATATTGAAATCTATAGTTCCACTTAAAATACATAAGTGTGATAATATTTTCTTTCCAAGAATGCAATTTCAGATGTTTTTCAATTGCGTTTTTGAGCCAAGAACTATTACACCATTCAGAGAAATGCTAAATTCCAAAATGTTATGTTGCCATCTACACCCATTCAGTTTATATCTGAATTCAAACATATAATCCATCCAACAACTCTAATAGGTCTCACACTGTTCTCAGAGAGGACGAACACAAATATTCATGTTAACTTAAACTGGTTTTTTGAAAATTGATAATGAATGATGCCAGGAACTGCTGGAGATTCACACATTCAGCAAGTTCAGAGGAGGGCAATGAGGATGATCAGGGAATTGGAAACCAAGCCCTGTGATAAAGACTGAAAGAACTGGGCATGTTTATCCTTGAGGAAAAGAAGACTGAGGGGAGATATGATTGCACTTTTCAAAGACTTCAAAGGTTGAAAGGTTGTCATATAGAGGAGGGGCTTTCTACCAGAATGCAGGATGCATAATAATGGGCTCAAGTTACAGGAAGCCAGATTTTGTCTGAATATCAGGTGAAACTTCTAAACAGTCAGAGCAGATTGACAGTGGAACCAATTACCTTGGGAGTGCTCCAAAACTGGAGGCATTTCAAAGAAAACTGGACAGCCATCTGTCACATCTGCTTTGAATTGGATTCCTGCACTGAGCAGTGGGTTGGACTTGATAGCCTTATAGACACCTTCCAACTCAAATTATTCTATGATTTTCCTCAGCCCTCTACTAAGCTTTAGGATCTCAGTCTCCTCACCATGGGAATTTCTTCTAATTGGGGAATGTGCACTACCATCAAAATTTGGATTTGAAATTTGGAATTTCAAAAGTTCAGAATGTTCAGATACCTAGAACTCTGTTACCATCAATCTGAATATTATATCGTCATTATTTCCCCGCTTTCTTTTAAAAAAATCCACACAAACAGGCAAAATGGTTTTAAACAGTTTCCCTATGTCTTTGGACACCTTCCCAGTGATTCTGTCAAACAAAATGTTTGCACACCAACAGCCAGCAGTGCCTAGGTTTTAGGAAATGACTCTAATTGGCATATTGATTGAACCATGAACAGTGGGGATGGCAGCAGAAAATACCAGGTATGTTAGGGAAGCAGAGGACAGGTCACACTGGAGAGTGTGCAAATGCCCTGGGCAACACCCGCAGGCAGATTGAAACAGCAGATAGCCTGTGGTGGGTGAGAAATGTACCAGTACCATGGAGCTCAGCACAGTTGAGTGAGTGAGCAGAATCTTGGAGTTGCAGTTGGAAGAATGAAAGTGGCGGAAGGAAGAGGCAGCAGACTGAAGCATGACACATCTAGTACTGTGAGCAGAGTATGTCATTCTCTCTTGGTTAAAGGGACTTCAAGGAAGTCCAACAGGTGAAATAGGCCCTCTGTGATTGACCTTAAGGAAGACAAGTATTTCTACAGATCCAGGTTACATGATTGATTGATTGATTGATTGATTGATTGATTGATTGATTGATTGATTGATTGATTGATTGATTGATTGATTGATTGATTGATTGATTGATTGATTGATAGATAGATAGATAGATAGATAGATAGATAGATAGATAGATAGATAGATAGATAGATAGATAGATAGATAGATAGATAGATGATAGATAAATAAATAAAACTCCCTCTGTCGCATCACATCGTCACTCCACCATCCCAAACTCTATAAGAAGAGATTTAAAAAATTATTCATCAAGGACACAATGGAACCTATACAACAAAACAACAATGTTTTTCTCTCTCGTTATTTCACCATCCCCAAAAAGGACAGAGGTTTACTACCTATTCTAGACCTCAGAGAACTCAATATGTCATCACCACAAAATTCCGTATGGTAACCCTCAAATCCATTCTACCTCTTCTCAGAAAAACAGCTGGCTCACAGTCATAGATTTACGAGATGCATAATTCCACATCTCCATCCACCCCTCCCACAGACAGTTTCTTTGATTTCAATTTGGGCCCCAAGCCTACCAATTCAAAAGACTTCCTTTCGGGCTTGTAACAGCTGCCAGAGTCTTCACCAAGTGCATGGTCCCAGTGGCTGCCTTTCTCAGATTTCAGAAGATTGTCATCTTCCTATACATAGACAACTGGCTCCTTGTAGCTCGGTCCCGCC